AAGAAACCCGGCCTTGGCATTTTGCTTTTTCTCGAGTTGTTTCTCTCTTCCTTCTTGGTCTGTCTCACATTTTCCAACTCCAACTTCAGCCTGCAAACCCCCCGACATTCTCTCTTATCAGGATCGATTGGCTCTCTTTAGATGCCTCCTGGCCTTCTGTTTCTCTCCGCCTGCACAGCGCAATTTATCAATCTTCGACCCCCCCGCCACTCGCTCATCAACAGACAGATATAGCTATCGCATGATTTTCCACAGCTCGGAGTACACGAGCGCGCAACGCAGATCCCGTTTCAGCGTTCCTCGAGGACAGCCAACAGACTTTCATACTCGCAAAACTAATATATTTCTCCGATGAATGCGGATGACGCGAAAGCCAGACTCATTAATATTCCCTCGACTATATTAAACCAGCTTTAATTTCCCCCCTATTCGATTCTTCAGAGGCGACGGGCGTGATGTTATAGTGATTAAGTGTTGTATTGATATTCACCTGATAATTCAAGAAATGGGGAGATGTATGTATAACTGCCAGTTATCTGCCAGTGCGACAGGCCTATACAGTTAACAGGAATAACGTTGCTAACGGGTGCGCGGTTCAATTTAGGGAAGTATGCAGTGGTTCTGGACGCTGGATCGTCCGTAAGTGCTGCCAGCTGTGTTCGCAATGCCAGTTTTACGCCAGGGACTTGGAAGAAGAACCCATAGCTAAGGGTATGCGATTCGTGATTTAAATAGGGAACGAGAGCACATATCTACCGATGGCCCAAGAAAGGACATAAGGATGTTGGTAGTGAGGACCTGGCAAAGTTGCCGCATATCGAAACTACCAAGGAATGGACGAAGAAGATAAAGCCGGGTATGAGAAGCACGTGGCGCATGCATAACTGCGTATACGTTCGATTTACTGACTTGAGAGTTCCTAGGTGTTTCGTCCTTCGCCAAAAACCCAGAAAATGTCGGCCCAGACCACCTCCACAAGCTTCTCAAACATGTACACACCGTAATACCTCGCAAAGAGGTCGAGGACACGCCGATATTCCTTCTTGCGACTGCTGGTATGCGGTTATTGTCAGACAATGAACAGAAAGAGATCCTCAAAAATGTATGCTCCTACATTAGTGACAACTCGGGCTTTCTTTTACCGGATTGCGCCACCCATATAAAAGTTATCGATGGAAAAACAGAGGGACTCTATGGTTGGATTGCGACAAACTATCTTCTCGGCGGTTTTGATGAGCCAAAGGCCCATGATCATGGCAAGGGCCATCACACATACGGTTTCCTAGACATGGGTGGTGCTTCTGCGCAGCTAGCATTTGCGCCAAATTCTACAGAGGCGAAAAAGCATGCGAATGACTTGACACTATTGCGTCTGAGGACTCTTAACGGGCAGTCAAATGAGTACGGCGTCTTCGTTACATCCTGGCTAGGATTTGGTGTTCGACAGGCAAGATCCCGCTATGTAAAGGCTCTTCTGAACGGAGCACCTGCCGGCACGGTCAACAGAAAACTCCCCGATCCTTGTCTTCCTGACGGTCTGCGGACAACTCTCGAAGGAACCATTCTCCCTCCAGATGGCCCAGTACCCGGCACAGATTCTTACTTGGTAGGGAATGGAAGGTTCGAGGAGTGTTTGCGCGAAACAATCCCTTTGCTTGCCAAAGACACTCCGTGCGAGGATGAACCCTGTCTGCTGAACGGAGTGCACGTCCCTGCGATTGACTTTGATGTCAATCACTTCGTCGGCATAAGCGAGTATTGGCATACCACCCACGAAATATTTGAGATGGGCCACCAGGACAAGGCTTATGACTTCAAGACCTACCAGATGCGTGTCAAGGAGTTTTGCGCAACGCCCTGGAGTGCTATCAAGGACGGTATCGAGCAAAAGAAATGGGGTAAGGTTGACCAGGAAACAGCCTACGAGGTCTGCTTCAAGGCGGCCTGGATAATCAACATCCTCCATGACGGCATCGGTATACCTCGTGTTGGACTCGAGGCTTCCACCAACAACACTAACAGCGCTACTAAAGAACTTGGTGGCCACGGCAAAAACGGCCAAGACAAAACCTACCTAGATCCATTCCAAGCTGTGGATAAGATCAATGCCACTGAAGTGAGCTGGACTCTTGGAAAGGCCGTCCTATATGCATCATCTCAAGTCCCTGCGTCTAAGGCAAGCTTACCTGTTGGGTTTGGTAGCAACACTCCCGGCAAGGTCCCAGATGACTTCGAATACCCAAGCTCAAACCAACCTCATATCCCTTCACCACCTAGCAACTCTGATAAAAACGGGACAAGCGAGAATTGGCATGACACATTATTTGACGGAGACTCGCCTCGCCGTATCCCTGGTCTATTTATCTTCGCCCTTATAGTTTTAATCGTTATCTTTTTCCTTCTTGGCCGGGAACGTCGTTCCCGTATCTATCATAAACTAGGCATGCGATTGGGACGTGGCGGTAACAACGGAGGGAACTTGAGAAGAAGATCCCCTTTCTTCAGGGGGAAGATACCCTTCCTCTCTAGACGAGGCCCCGGAATTTCTTACGAACGCGTGCTGGAGGAAGGTGACCATCGAGACTTTGAGCTCGGCAGCATGGACTCGGACGAAGACTCCCAAGGCTCTTCTTCCTCATCACCAACTTCGGGCGCCGCTGGAACCCGACCTCTGGCCCGAACACCTCACAGCCAAAGTCCTAAATATAATCTCGACAATTCGTCTTTGCTCAGCGTTGCGAGCCTTAATAATTCCCTGGATAGGCGCGGGCTTGTTATCAGAACCGAGAGTAGGGACAGACTATATGCACCCGCTCTTGCGCCGACGACTGTCGGTCGAAAATCCCGTGCCACCAGCCCTATCCGACTTTCTACGCCCATTACGAACACTTAAAAATGATACCAATGTCCTTCTTTACCGTTCATCATTGCAGAGTTGTTGCTTGTACATAATATAAGGGTTCTATGATCCGGCGTTTTCCTGCAGATATTGTTTGGTTTGTGTAATCGGTTCTTTCCTGGCGCGCGGCGCAACATTTATATCCCCCATTGCATGACATTATTATGTGTATATCATTTACCTTTTATAATATCTAGAAAAACCGGTTCCAGTACCAATATTTCAGCCCATGGAATCTCCACCCATGACCAATTAAAAGAAGCAGTGTACAAGTGCAATTGAGGATAAGATTAGACCTTGCTCCAGATTGTATTTTTATAGAACAGCCCTTGTAAAACACCGGTTCAGAAGGATAGAATATCACAAGTTAACAACATCCCGCATGTAAATAAAACCCAACCCAATAACCAACAGTCTGCATTAGGTCATCTCAACGTCCTTATCGCCATCTGCATCAGCAGCACCACGAGGTATCCGTCCTTCATTCAACTCCTTCTCCAGCCGGGTGATTTCCTGCAGACTCTTGGCTTCTCGTATCATCTTCTCGACTCGTTTCCTTTCCTCGGGTGTCAGCTTGACTCGTAATGGTTTCTCACTTCCCGCACCTCCCGGCGAGGAAGTAGAGGATGCTGCGCCCAGAGCTGCAGAGACATCGAACGCGCGGGACTTTATGCCTAGTATCTTCGACGCTAGGGCTGTGGGCTGTTTCGTCGATGGTCCGAAAAGTTCCTTTGCCTTTTCACGTTCGACATCTTTTACTTTTTGGTAGTCTAGGAAACGTATCGTTGGAGCAAGCCATATGATCCAATACCGGTAATGCTAAAATGCACCGTTAGCCATTCCGGCAACCAACACTGAGGGCTGAGGGGATGTACCTCTTTCCTGGTCACTGGGTTTTCCAGTAGACTCAAATGCGTTAATCTGGGAAACGTCTTGAGAGGCTCTAGATCCGCTAGTTCGGCAAAATTGTTTGCTGTAAGGACCAGGGTTGTCAGGTTTGGAAGTGAGGTGGCTAGCGTTGGTTGAATATGCGAAACGCGATTGCGGGCGAGAAGGAGAGATCGTAATCGAGGCGAGAAAGAGAAGTTAGATATCGAGGATATGCTGTTGTCCGTGAAATCGATTGCATCGTGGTCCTATCAAACATGTTAGATTTCGACGTCCTGCCTGCATTGGTGCTCGCGGATATGTAGCAGGATGCTCACCTTTGCCGCGCCGAAGTTCTCTATAACGGGAATTTTGTGCCCTATATTGGTCCGTCCCCGGAAGGAGATAACGATAGTATCAACGCAGCTCCATTTTTGTAGGGTATGTATATGTGGTGTGGCTTCACCGAGGATGGGAAAGAAAAAGTGTAGTATCTGGTTCTTTTCAGACTAACTAGGGTGCTTTCTCTGTCAATACGCACCTCGAAGATCTAGCTCGCGCTCTTTGAGAGGATTGAGATATGAGAGGGAGTTCTGAATCAAATCAACCGTGAGACGCATCTTTGCTGGCTCTGCTCTGCTCTGCGCTGCTCCCTCTGCTTCGTCTGGAGGTTTGATATCTTGACTGTTGCTGCTTTTCTGTTATCGAAAGCTCGAAAAAGTAGAGTTGACGTTCTCTGTCACGTGTTCCTTATCTAGATCAGGCACGGGCGAGACGGCAGGCTGGAGGAGCTACGAACACCGCGCAGTTCCAGAGGACAGCATGCATGGTCCAGTATATAGCGTTGTTGTTTAGTATTACAGGGCTCTTTCATTTATCTTTTTTTTTTTTCATATATCCATAACTATTTCTGGATCCTCCCCTTCTTCCTATCAAGAAGGGGATCCTCCCAGGAGGAATCTCCTTGCTTAGTCATCAGTTAAATCGCACACAAAAAACGCACAACTCAGTTAGTCAGGGCAGCAGCTCGCTTTATCAGCCGTGGGAATCATCAACATCTCCGTAAAACCGACTGCCTCGTAACTGTAGACCGGACTCCTGCAGCCACCTAGACTTATTGCCCGCCTCAAACCAGCCAAACTCGATAAAAAGGAACTTCTTTCGGCCATTTGCTGCCTCTTCTGCTCTCTACACAGTGATAGCGGCCTTTGTGAGGCTCGACAACATCAAACAAGTCTCTGTGGCGTAATTGGCTAGCGCGTACGACTGTTAAGAACGATTCAACAAGAAAGAAGTTCGGTCATCGTAAGGTTGGAAGTTCGAGCCTTCCCAGGGACGAATTCGCTTTTTTTTTTGTGTTTTTACCGGCCTTCATTGAGGCCGGGGACAGTGGGTGGACGGGGAAGCCAAGTGGACTGAAATTATACCCACTCGCAGCCGCTCAAAACCCCGGTAAGGGCAGGGGAACTCCGGGAAAGATACATACCACAATATATAAAACTGTACGACATATCTTTTTGGCATATTGGTAACTATATATCTACCAAAGGGCAGTTACGGACGTTGAAATATTATATCAGATACAATGGAGTCGGCACCATGGCGCCCCTTATTCGAAGAGCACGTTCAAGCTGCAGGCAGCCCACTGCTATCACTTGCAACTGCATCCAAGGACATAAAGGGCAATCCGTTCCCTCGAGTGAGGACCTGTGTTCTCCGGGGCTTCTTTGCTGGCCTGCAGCTGCATCCCAACGCAAAGCATGACCTGAAGTTGGCTGCCGGCCGTTCAGTTAAGGAGGAAAGTGACGACGAAGATGCCTCGTATCTGAATCCGAGGAAGTATGAAAGTGACCTATTGAGTATTACCACCGATGCTCGATCCGAGAAGGTCAAACATATCCTATCTGGTAACGAAGTCGGCGGACCGGTGGAATGTCTCTTCTGGTCACCCAAAGCCTTTGCGCAGTGGAGAATTAAGGGGAAGGCATACGTTGTGGGTGGAAGTTGCTCTGATACAATGGAGCTGAAGGCCAGACAGGAAGTTGAGCAATATTTGCGGCTAAGAGAAGATACGGACAAGCCGTGGAGTTGGGAAAAGGAGATGACCACTCAGTTTGCCAACCTGTCTCCTGGCATGAGAGGTATGCTTATAATGAAGAGGCAAAGCTGTACATTGGCCTTGGGCTAACTGTGTGCCAGATACATTCAGACGAGCTCTTCCCGGCTCACCAAAATCAGGCCCAGCACCAGAGCTACAGAATGGCGGAAAGGGGCTCGTCGATCTGACTGACCCCGTGGCAAGGAAGAGCTTCAGGGTTGTGGTTATCAAGCCAGAAGAAGTTGAATATATCCATGACGAGGGCCCAGGGAATATAAGGAATGAGAGGTTCAAATGGAAGTTGGTGCCGTCAGATAGCCAGTACACATGGCACTGGGAGGAAGAGCAGCTCTGGCCTTGATCTAACCCCCCTCGTGCCCTTGAGATATAGCAAGCAATGTACCTGTCCTGAGTAAAATATGCGATTCTCTCCATTGACCAGCTCTATCAACCTGCCGTGTTAGCGCCAGCAGGACAGTCAACTGTACCTGGTCAATGTCTACATGTCCTGCTCTTTGGAGTCTAATTTTCCCCTTTAGGACATGTCAGCATAGCAACAACACAGCAACATAGCTCGCTTACTGCCCAGCCACCCTCACACAGATATCTTCTTCTTCTTCTTCTTCTTCTTCTACTACTACTACTACTACTACTTCCCTTTCTCTCTTCCTCCTCTCTTCTCCCCTCTGAGCAGTCTTTCAGTCCAGATCACAGCCTACAGCCTGGGTATCAATGCAGCATTTGATACTGCATCTACTTCTACCCGCCAGCGCCCTGAAAGAAGAGAGCCGGAGCAGACGCAGAGAACAGCATCACACCCGCCTGTTATCTTGCCTGTTATCTTGCCTGTCTACCAGTCTTGTCCGTGCAGCAAGCTTGACAAAAGAGTAACAAGGCCTTTGTCTACTCTGCCAGACCAGCCTTGTTTGGACTGTCTCTTCAGGGCAGCCTGTTGCTATAATCTTTTCCCACATCCTCCCGCCAGCGTAAGTTGTTGACTTCTCCTTCCACGCCCTGCAAGAAGTGCACTTTCTGCTCAAAGACTTTTTCCCCTTTCCTTTTGTTTTGATTTCTCTTCTTCTCTTCTTCTTCCTTTCTGTCCCTGTTTGACATCTCCCTCCGCTGCTCCCGGGCAATCAGTATTCATTATGCCTTTTTTTAAATCCCTTAGCTGGATATAGCTAAAAGAAATATAGGAAAAAGAAGTACCGGACTCCCAGGTAAGCCGTCTAACTCCTTGCTCTCTGCTCAGGTCTCCAGCTACGCGTTGAGATATATATCTCAGGTCGGCAGAGTTGAAGCCTGGGTCCAGAGCAAGGAGGTATACTTTTTACACGAAAAAAAGACACGCACTCTTCTCTCTCCCTCTCTCGCACGCGCTCTCTTTCTCTCTCAAGATGGGACACTCAATAACATGGGAATATAGTGAGGAGTCCGAAGCCGAGGAGATGGTCTCCCGCTGCTCATACTGCGGGCGATTCTGCAACAAAAGGGCCATTCATGGCAAGACAGGTCTCTGCTATCCATGCAGAGAGACCCTCCGCAAGGAGGGTGACAAGAGAGCCCTGGAAACGGACTCTGATACTGAGAGCGCCTCCTCCGGCCGTGGGGCCGAGGAGTGCGAGCCCGTCAAGGGCCATCCTGCTGCCACGGCTGAGGCAGAGGATGACTCTCAGTCAGCCAAGTCAGAGGAAGGGACCGCTTGCAGCAACGTTTGCTCGAGATGCTGGGCCGCAGAGGCGACGGGGACGTTATACAACTCCCCTGTCTGTGACGACTGCTACCACCTCGCACAGGCCAATCGCGTAAGTAGATAGCCATGATCCTCCCTTTGTGTGGTATGCTTGCTACGTGTGAGATTCTCTGACATGGTCCCGAAACACTGGAAGGAATGGATGAAGGGTACCAAAGTAAGTCTCTCTCTCCCCCTTACTTTTTCTATGTCCATACAATGGCATTTTTCAAGAAAACAAGTCCGACAAATTAGCTAATATGGAATCTTCATTTTGACAGAAACGATTCCAACCACCGAACCCGCATTTACAGGCGGGTAAACGGTTGACAAGGGTCTGCGATTCCTGCCGGCAGAAGAGGAAGCGCTGCGAGCATCGCAGAGTTGTCGATGCCACTGATCGTAAGTTGGCCCATCATTTCTTCATAGAAGAATCAAACTAGGTATCAAAAAGAGAGTGAGCATATTCTAACTTGTCCCGACTTGCCAGCGGAAGCCCACTGCCGCAAGAGAGGGAGAAAGAGAAAATGCGAAGAGATCAGTGATGACAAGAAAGAAAGTGAAAATAACAAGGCCCCTACAAGCAGGGAGGAAGAACAAGGTAAGCTCATCATCCCCTTTATTTCCTTGTCATTAATGATCCAACAAATTCAAACAAAGCAGACGTGCTAATTGATATCCTTACTTTTCTTTTTATTTCATTTTATCCAGCAGAAATCATTGTTGTCGACGATCCTGCAGAAGAACCCGGCTGTTCCGATGAGAGCATGAATCACGCCATCAAGGAGTCTCTGGACACCGTGTACAAGAGAGAACTGCTGAAACTCGAGGTCATAGCGAACGAGAAGGTCAACGAAGCCAACAAGGCCCTGGATGCCGTCCGTGACCATCTGCGCAGCTGGCTCGAACATGTCAGAAGAGGCAACTCTCTCGGCAAACAGCAACTACCAGAGCAGCAGCCAGAGAAGTCAGAGCAACCAGAACAATTGGACCCATTAGAGCAGCAAGATCAACTACCACAGCCACTGCAGCCACCAGAGCCCGCTGCTCAAGAAGAGTGTGTTTGATATCTCATCCTTTTCTCCCGCAAGCACAAAGACAGAATCACCGCCAGCAAAAAGGGAGAGCCAAGCCAAAATGCTGGTGATTTAACCTGGGCCACAGGGAGGTGTATGATATTTGGTTTCGTGCTTTTTGATTTCGTTTTTATTTTTTATTTTTTATTATTTTTTTTCCTCCTGCTTATCCTGGTGTTTTATTTTTCTTCAGGCTGTGATATCAGGCAGTGATAATGATGGGGATTCTATTCATGTTGATTATGAGATGGCGTATGAAGGCATCCGGCATAGAAGGCCACTGACAGAGAAACGCCAACACATAGCAAAGCAAATGTTAAGTGAAAAAAAAAAGCGACTGACAAGATGACTTCGCTCTCTCTTTCTTTCTCTCCCTTTATCTGCCTTCTTCTCCCTTTCTCTTCTTTCGTTTCGTCTTTTGATGAAGTAAAAGAAGCTTAGTCATCACATTAACTTAGTCATCTGTTTACTTTCACGTGATAATAGAGCGTGGGGATGTCCGAAAGAGGAAAAGGTTGACATCTCGCGACTTTTGGCGTTTTTGAAGTTTTGCATTTCAAGCTCGTATTCAACAGCAGCTTAACGAAGGATTTTCTCCAGGAGCTGATGCTTGCAGGGCGCTGGCACTCGGACATCCCAGACAGCTCTCTTCAAACCCCAAACCCGCCTCATTCCATGTAAGATATCTGGATCTGCCCCCACGTCCACCCCAAACAGGCGCTGGGAGATCGAAGATATCAAGACTGACAACCTCCTTAACATCACCGGCATCAAAAGAAATGACACCTCTGCCAAGTGTGGTCCCGTCTCCAAGTTGAAGAGCGGAAGGGAACCCGCCGAGCCTAAGTCCCCATAACTAACAACCTCCTGAGCTTCTTGGAAGAAGTTGGATAAGAGAAGGTTATGCCCTTGATTAACTAATTAACACCATTTTCTACGGAGTAGTTGTCGTCATGCATGCAGGGCGAGGATCGAAAGAAAGAGACACGCCGGGATATTTTCCCCCTTATCTAACGGCTTTCTTTGCTTTGCAAGACACCAAGTCCAATCGCGATGATCTAGAAAGAACCTTACAAAAAAAAAAAAAAAAAAAAAAAAAAAAAAAAAAAAAACCCGAATCCTCATAAGAAAGAACGAGAAAGGAAGAGGCGGTAAAAGGCCCACGCGGCTATCAATTAAAAGGGGCACGATGATTTGCATGGTGAAACAGACGATGATAGGGGTGGTGGAGAGAAACAGCCCCAGCGGCGAACTGAAAAAGAACAGCCAGCGAGCTGAGATTACGCCTTGGGCGAGAAAGACTTGGATCAAGGAAGACGGAAACAAGGAAGACAGGAAGAAAGCGGCCAGAGGGCCCCTCGAGATGACATTCTCCTTTCGATATAGTTGCTCAACTAAGTAATAGTGCCGGGGAAAGCAGCGGGGACCCCTT